ATGTTCTAAATGATTTCCTTGGTAATTTTATTAATTTTCAAATAAACTCATCAAAACTTTTCATTCCTAATTTCCAAAACATTTGTGTAAATTCATCTTCAGTATTATCATCATAAATAGCTGAATTATTAAACTTTAAGTTCCATGGTTTATCTATTTCTGGAATAATTGTACTGAAAATACAATCTTTTGATTCTAATGCATTAATAATTTGTGGTTTTTTACCATCACAGAATGTAAGCATAGCAATAAAATTCTTTTTTACATCTTTCCCAAATAAATTAATAATATTCCCAAATATATACTGCTGATTTAGTGTTAATCTTGCATTACTTGATTGTGCAACAAAACAAATAGCATTTAAATCTAATACTTTTGTTTCAAATGCTTCTTTGATTTGTCTAGTAATTTCTTTATCATATTCAATTCCTCTTGTATCTCCAAATCCAGGTGTATCTATTATTTTTATTGGTGGTGCTCTTTTTGTTCTTTTAATATTATAAATTGAAACTTTACTTGTTTGACTTTTAGATTGATCTCCACTCTGTTTTAAATTATCTTCATTTATAATTATATATCTAAAATCATCTGTTATCTTGATTCCATATAATGCATTTACAAAACTATTTAATAATGTTGTTTTACCACTTCCTGTTTGACCAACAACTAAAATAGCAATTGCATCGTTCTCATCCTTTGGATTAAATGGTTTATTTGGATATAAATATATTTTCAATTTTCCTTCTTCATGATTTTTCAATCTTATACTTCCTTTAATTGGAACATTTTTTTCAGGTACATCTGTAGTGTCATTTGGAGAAGTATATGATATAACAGTATTACGCGGTGAACCGAAAGGTAATATAGCATTGTTTAAAGAAGTGTTGTAACGTAGTTTTGGTGGAGCATCAAATACTTTAGTGTTACTTGGTGAAATGACAGGTACTATTTTTTCTGTTATATTGATCTTATTATCATACAGAATAGAAGTTAATTTTAATGTTTGTTCTTTATCTTTTTCTATTTTACTTCCTTTTTGATCTTCAAATACAAATTCTTTTGGAATATTTTTTACATTTTCAATTTCTTTTCTTATATCTGAAAGAGAAGAATTCTTATTTAATTGTCTTTCCCCTGAAGGTTTTCCATTTAAATATATTCCAGCAGTTACAATATCCATTTCTACTGTATTTTCTTTCTCTTTTTTAAGATTAATTTCATCATTATTTATTATATCTTCTACTAAAAATTGTTCT